TCTAAAAAACCATGTTTGTGGTATTTGTATGACATCAAATTTGCACACACACTCTCTTCATCTCAATAATCAACCCCCCCAAAAAAAAATTCAATTTGAACCATAGATATGGTCAAAACGAGTTCCTTCTAAAAACGAATCTAAACCATTCATTTTGTGAATTTCAAGATCTTAGCTTTTATAAACTCAAAATCATTTTTTTTATTTTTTAACATTGTTCATCTAATGATAGTAAAGCTATCCAAAAAAATTGGAAATGAAAAAATCCTTTTAAGACCTAGATCTAAGCATCTCATCAAAATGAACCGCCTATGTTAATTGGGCTAAAAAAATACTTTCTAGGTTGTGTTTTCAATTTTTTTCTTTTTTTGTGATTATTCATTAAAATGAAAAGAATGTATATTTCAAAATTTGGATCAAACAAATGGACATAAGATGGTTTTTTAAGGTTATTACATCATATTACTACACAACGGTTGCATGAAATCATTGGCCTTCCTCGAAACCCTAATTCGACAAAGAAGAAGATCAAAACTTGAGCTTACATTACGTTATCATCTATCGTGGCAAATTAAGTTATGCATTGCATAGGGTTATATAACTATAATTATGTGTTTTTGTTGTCTTGTTTGTTGAAAATCGTTTCATGCAGGATGGACTGTATTTCTACATATGCGGTCTAAAAGTATAAAGTATCATGGATGCAAATATGTGGCCCATTTGAAAACAATTGAAACTAACATACCAAATATTTTCTTAAAAAAAGTATTATTTTTAAATTTTTAAATTTATTTATTTTTTCATATTCGTGATCTCTATATTAGAGATTATATATCATCAAAAATTAAATCCAAAATCTATCTAAAAAATAAATTTATAAAGAGGCCCGCATTTCTTCATGTACAGGCTTGACCCGGATACTAACCGTGTTCTTGTTTAAATTGTAGTATTTTTACCGTACAATCAAGGGTTCTCTATTCATGAAACACGTGTAAATGTATGTAGAAATAAGCTACTCATGAGCACATGGAATTCGTCCTCGATCCATTCACATAAAGGAAAAGTTCATATAAAAATGAACCTTATACCATATAGGTAAAGGTGTATTAAAACTAACCCGAAAAGTTGTTTCGAAGTTGAAAACCCTACCATCGATCATTTCAACTTAAATGCATAGAGGTGGAATAAAAAACAGATTTTAAGTCCGAAAAATAGTTTATTTATAACATATTATTTGGACGGTCAGTTTTCAAAATTTTTAAATGTTTCTAAATATGTTAGATTTGCATTATTTTTTGAACTTTAAATTTTATATAGATAGAGTTTTAGGCCATCATAAGGGTTTCAAAGAATTGCAATTTTTAACAAGATTTAAAAGTGTGACTTACTTTGATAATTTAAAGTTGATACCTTATAAGCTGGTCTACAAAGGGTGGGGACCTTAAATTTTCATTAAATCCAGCTGAAGCCTAGGTAAAAGAAGTGGGTTGAGGTAGACAACCAACGCAAACTTTACCAAAATTTTTTATAAATCCTGAACTTACATTATCAACTTATGCTAGGGTGTTTCCCTTAAGCGATGCATGGTAACATAGACATGTTGGAAGTAAAGAGAAAATATATGCGGATTTATAGCCTCACTGAATGCATGGTCTTGATAGAACAGAATGACGGACTAGAATTAATGTCGTCGATTCCAAATAATTTTTTTTAAAAAACAATTTGATGATGATGACCTTATAAATTTCACCTTTATATAAATAAGGGTGTGGTTTCTATAAGGTTGCAACCTTAAACAATCCAATTAAGGTGCACCTCTAAAATTTAACATAATATATATTTTTGTTGTAAATTTTTTTTAGGATTATCTTAAAAAATTTTAAACTCCAAAAATGGATATGAAAATCTTGAAAATGGACGGTCTAGATAATGTATTGCAAGATGCACTATTTTTGGGACTCAAATTTTTTTTATTTTTTATTTTTTTAATATTCATACATCTCGATGTCGAGATGATCATTTAGAGGATTTTTCAACATTAAAACAGCCCTTTCGATAGATTTTTGAGGTGTATTTGTGATTGTACATTTTAAGGTTGCAACATTATGTAAACTTTTCCCTATAAATAAAAATGGTTATCTATCAAAACAAGTAAAGCCTCATTTCATAACTCATCATTAGAAAACCTTATACCAATCATCTTGGCTTTAACATTATGGTTTTGAAAAAAATAGGATTTCAAACTCTAGTGTATATTGTAACATATTATCTAGATCGTCCATTTCGTCCTAAAAATAAGTGTTCATAAATCCGCAGGATCTGTACTATTTTTAAAGTTTCGAATTTCATTTTCAATATTGAAAATTGATTTTAGAGCCAGCCGTCACACGTATTTATTTAACCTAAAGTGCTTTCCTAACAAGGATTTGAGGTGAGGGTTTATTTTGTTTCCATAAAGCCTAGCTTATAAAAACCTCATCCATATATAAAACCCCATGATCTTGTCAAATCTCCATCTCTCTGATTGGTGGTAGTTATGTCTAGATTTTTAAGAACTTATAAAAACCTCATCCATATATAAAAACCCCATGATCTTGTCGAATCTCCATCTCCCTGTTTGGTGGTAGTTATGTCTAGAATTTTAAGAACTTAAATATCTTTCCTGTGCATTTTGTTTTTTGTTTTTTTTTTTTAAACTTGATTACATCAAAGATATTGGAAAACTAAAAGGCACATCATTCTAGTTGCCATTATAGAATAGAAAAGTATGCCTTCCAATTATCAAATGGATCCAATTGAAAAGGACCGTATGAACCTCCTTGGAAGTCATATCGAATCCATTACCTCTTTTTAGAATGACCAAGATACCCCCACATTGTTCTTGACTGACGACCAGATGCAGCGTATCCAGCATCACGACAGGAGTACTTTAGTCATTTAATTATACGTCAGCCATGAAGCACATGCTTTAATTAGGACAACAAAAAGTGCCACAAAACTTTGACTGTGTACCCAAACATCTTGTGACGTTTGCGCTAACGCATTTGCATGCGGGGGTCTACACAACTTTTTATACAAATTTGGCAGCGTCCTAAAAGGAAAAGTGTTCGGTGAGTCGGCCAACCCACATTATTCTTGCGCGGTCTCCCAACAAAATATATTTAAAAAATGTACTTCTTATTTAAAATTTTAGAAGTCTAAATTTGAAAAAAAAAATTTCAAAAAATATAAATATTGCTTTTTGAATTTCTCTTTCCACTGTCTATTTTTACGTTTGGTTGATGTGACATTTTTTGACATCTACGATGTTAGATAGACAGGCGACCTCACGGTAATAGGTGAGTCAAATGACTCACCAAAACTGTATCCCTTCTAGAATGAACCCAAAAGCTTGGACCATACACTCGTGTATGGATATGGCACACCCATCAGAGTCGACTGTTTGTTCTCAACTATGGACCATGCAGATCAACCATAGTTCTTCCGTTACAAACATTCGCCGAGGTACAGTTAAGCGCCACCATTCGTTATTTAGAATGGACGGTGGATGACCTTGTGGTGTATATATTTCATATTAAGGACTATACTACCCTATGGAGTACGCTTAGTAGATGAAATTTGGCTCCAAAATTTATGCACACGTATGTATCACTGCTTACGCTTTGAAAGACTAAAATTAAACTGTTATAAACATGGTTAGTGTTAATTAAGCCGGCTTAAGATGCCACCCAAATGAGCGAAAGGACTAGGACTAATTGGGTATCCTTAACTTTTTACGAAATGACCAAGAAAACCATTCACTTTCTTTCCCACGTGCGTACATGCTCTTTAATTGCTCAACGAATGCTTAGAGTTATTCTGATACATCGGTCTAGGCCATTTATTGTGATATTTTAATATGTGTCGGCATTTAAAAACATTTGAACAAAAATATACATAAAATAAATGTTAGATTTGAATAATATTGTATTTTAAATGCAACCTTATATGTAGAAATAAGGCTGTATCAATCAACACCATCTATTTGATCAGTATAAATTTGACATTGTCTCATAAGATGTACTACTTTTTTAGTTTGCTTTTAAAAGTATGTGAAATCTACACCACCCAATTAAAATAGACAATATAGAACACCGCATTCTTATTTCTACAAATAAAGTTGCATCTTTATACTAACTACGCTCATATATTTCAAAGAAAATTAGCCACTGTAGATAACTTTGACAAGAAGATAATCCAAATATCAACATAAATATATATAGGCTATTGTTGTAGAGTGGGCAACAAACCATAAACATTGTACACGACTATCAATGCAGCAAATATTAAGTAATTTCAAGGAGGTTGCCCAGATGAATGTGATCTCTTAGAAGGAAGTAGCTAAATGGGTTCCTCTACCTCAAAGTTAGACCGAGCTAAATTTTGATGGGAACTCTCTAAATACTTTGGATTTGCTTACATTGGGGGTCTTACTAGGGACCGTAAATGAGCATTGCATGTTTTTAGAGATAGTCTGGCGAGGCTACTGTGAATGAAGCTCAAATTAAATCCGTGTTGCAAGGCTGTAGAATGATACCCACATGACCTCAAAATACTTGAGGGAGATTCACCGAATAAAATTAATTAGAGCAGGGGTCAGATTTAATTAATTGTATTCGGTGAATCTCCCTCAACATGATTGTTTGGTGGTCAGATTTAACAACTAATTCTTTTCAATTTTGGTACGTAATACTTGCACATGCTTTACCGTTTTTCAGGTTTTTATTGGTGGTTCACCGGTAAAACAATGATATGAACCGCAAATCCAGCGATTAGGACTTAATTTTTTTCGTGCCCAATCGGAATCCCCGCACCGCACCGCACCGCACGGCACGGCACGGCATTTTGATCTGGTTTTCACCACTAGGGAGTGGCGTTTTTGTCTTTCTTTGAAAAGTTAGGGATGCTTGGGCTAATTTGGCTTCAATCCTTTTTATTCCCTTCACCCTCCTGCCTCTGTTGCCGTCAAAGAGGATGGTTGTTGCATCGTTAACTTTCTCTCTCTATAAATACCCATCCTTCTCTCTATATAAACACCCATTGATGAGCAGGAGTTTTAGGCTTAGAAAAATTTACAGTATGGGAGAAACAGTTGGGAAAGAGGAAGTTAGTGAACAAATAGAGAAGCTGCCTCTTTTAACCTTATATAAAATGGGTAAATTCCATCTCTCTCACAGGTAATTTCCCTTCTATAAGTTTCTCCCTCTGATTCTCCTTTCATTGTTATTCTTATTTACTGATACTGTTTCTGTTGTTCCATAAAATATCACAAATTAATTACAAGTGTTTTCTTTTCACTTTTCTCTTCTTATGGGTTGGTTTTTCATGGAAGAACATTGCACATTTTTAACTTTTAGTTCGTAGTATGTTTGGAAAAAAAGGTAAATTTATTGATTTGATTTGCATAAACATTAATTGAGCCTGTTGTTTTGTGGTCTTCATCTCTAATTAGTATTCGAAAATCATGATTTTAAATGTTTGGGTTTTTTTCTTTTCACTGATTAGCCATTCGCATAAACATTAATTGAGCCTGTTGTTTTGGGGTCTTCATCTCTAATTAGTATTCGAAAATCATGATTTTTTTGGGTTTTTTTTTTCACTGACTACGAGCTCATTAGCCATTCTTATCTCTTGAGAGACAGTATCATTGAGGCCCAGCTCAGCCCCTGAAAATTGAATTGGATCATATCGGGTTTGGGCTTATTTTTTGGGATATACACATTTTGTGTACTGTATATATCATTATCATAATAGCCTTTTACCAACTATTTAGGGTCTATCATTCCGTATCAAGGTCATACCATGGTCATGAATCTTTGTCTATCATTCCGTGTCAAGGATTCCCTTGTATCCATGGTCATAACACGGTCATATCCATTTGAAAAATGATTTCATGCAAAGGTTGCATCATATGATATTTTTTAAAAAAATCCATGTTTGTGTTATTTGTATGACCTAAAATTTGAGACATACACTCTTTTCATCTCAATTATCAATCCCAAAAAAAAAAAAATTTAATTTGAACCCAGGTCAAAATGAGTCCATTCCGAAAACGAATCTAGACCATTCATTTGGTGAATTGCAAGATCTTAGCTTTTATAAACTCAAAATCATTTCTTTCTATTTTAACATCATTCATCAAATGATAATAAAGTCATTCAAAAGATTGGAAATACTTTTAAGGCCTAGATCTAAGCATCACACCAAAATGAATGGCTTATTTCAATTGGGCTAAAGAAATACTTTCTAGGTTGTATTTCCAATTTTTTTTGTGATTTTTCATTAGAATGCAAATAGTGTATATTTTAAAATTTAGATCAAACAAATGGCCATGGTTTTTGAAAGATATTGCATTATATTATGATACAACCGTTGCATGAAATCATTGCATCATTGCTACGTATGTTAACGTAGTATTGATACTGATATGTATCAAGGGAAGGTGTTAACATATGGATATATATCATAATGATACATATCAATAGGACATATCTTTTGATAAGATTAGGTGGTGTCTATCCATAACCGTTGGTATTTATCTTTAATT